AGCTTAGCGCTAGCAGTAGTCTTCAGCGCTGGGCGCTAGTAGCCATAGCAGTAGTCTTCAGCGCTGAACGCTAGTAGGTGGTAGATAGTAGAGTCGGGAGAGATGGCTGGCGGAGGCCAGCGAGACTTACCTGTGGCGCCGTAGTTCCAGCTCCATCTTCGAGGTACCTGCATCAAGGCGCCAACTTCACAGGTTAGTATTGGACTGAGAGAGAGAGAGAGAGAGAGAGAGAGAGAGAGAGAGAGAGAGAGAGAGAGTTCTTCTTCCTCTTCTTCTAAGTCCACCATCTCTTCTTCCCCTCTCCCACCTGACTTCTCAGTATCAGCGGACTACTACAGAGAGAGAGTTGTGACTTGGGACTTGACGACATTGGATCCAGACTTGACATTTGGGATTCAGACATTTTGACGAGGGACTATTTGGGCTGTGCCGAAGACTTGGTGTTGACGACATTCCCATCTTCCCCTCCTCTTCGTCTAACCCCCCTTCTTCTTCGTCTGTGTATGATAGGGGCTGGCGCAGTCTTCCTGTGTGAAGCGCCAGACCCCATTCACACCATGTAACGATGATGATGAGGTATGTTCAGGGCTGCATTGCAATATTGATTGTTCGGATCATTGGTATCTATGTCTTCCCCTGTGCTATCTTATACTTTGTATTGAGAGGTCGGTTCTTGTTCTGGCCTGCACCGTTACAGTATGCAACAGTTTGGTATCGGAGCAGACCTCTCATTCAGAGGACCCGCTCAATCAAATAGCCAGCTTGCTTGATCTATTGATTACTCGTTAGTAAATCAAGTAGGACTTCGTCAAATCTCTGAAAAAAAAAAAAATTATCGCAACAACTATCTGAAATTTCTGATATTCGCATTTCGTTTTACCAGAACATTTCTGATATTAGTATTTTGTTCTACGCAACAAATATCTGAAAATTTCTGATAAGTCGCATTTCGTTTTGTCTGAAAAATCCCGATAGTAGCATTTCGTTTTCTCTGATATTTCGCATACATAGCTGAAAATTTCTGATGTTAGTATTTCGTTCTCTAGGCATATTGGGATAACGATAGAAGTGGTCATATTCGCGGAAACTGGAATTATTCTTTTCTGAAAATCGAATTTCCATTCTATCTCGCAAATTTTTTTTTGAAAACCGAAATCTTGCGAAGCCTACCAATATTTCGACAGGCATATTCGGAGGTTGCCATATTCTCAGAAACGGGATTTAGTTCTTTTCTGAAAATCGCATCCCTATTCTACCTCGCAAATTTTTTTTTTTCAATATCGCATTTTGTGAAAGCCGAAACTTTGCGGAACCTAGCCTAGAGCTCGTTCATAGTACTCTTCTGACATGTCTCACTCATAA